TCTGCTCCTCCTCGCCATGTAGGTTTGGTGCCTGTCCCCTCTTCCCTGTTGTCACCAAGTCTGTGAGCCCCTCGTGGGCAGACACCCGTTCCCAGAGTGGCGCTGACCTGGAGCAGCCACTGGTTGGGGACGATCTTGCATGGTCTTGTCACTGTTTCCAAACCTGAGGAGCCACGCCCCAGAGGAGAAGGCCGGCGCGTTCTGGTATGGCTGCTGCAGCTGGTGTTGTGAATCAGGCCGACGAGCAGCGCATCCTCTTACCCGGCTATTTCACGACACCAGGGTTGCATCATACCCATCCTCTCCAGGCGAGCCTCGTGGGACCTGGTCGTGAGCAAGGACACAGGACGGGTGGGGTGGCATGCTTGTGGGCATGGTGCATCTCTGTCACCCACTGGATCCCAGTCCCGCTGCTCCTCAGAATCACGGGGGTTTTAAAATACCCACGCCTGCTCCTCTCCCGTCCACTAGGCACACTGGGTCTCCTGGGTAGGGTCCCAAGTCCAAGTGCAACTGAGGAGGCCCAGGTCAGCGGGCCCGCCTGCCTGGCTGTTGCTGCAGCCTCCGGCCGTCTCCAGGGCCCTGTTTCTTCAGACTTGACCGTTTACCACACCACTGCGCCCTGTCAGCTTTCCAAAAGCAGATGGGGCCTGCACCCCAGGGCAAAGCTGAGCTCACCCCTGACAGCCAAGGCCCTTCCTCAGGGCTCCCTACTTGTAAACAGTATCACCATTGTTCTCCCAGCTCCCTGCTCCCCACAAACCCCTGCCCACTGGAGTCTGTGTGCTGGTCTGTCCCTGCCTTTAGGATAGACCTTGCCTCTGGCCCCCCAGAGCCACGGCCTGGCCCCCACCACTGCACACCTGCAGTGGCCCCTAACTGGTCTCCCTGGGTCAGTGGCTTCCTGACAGAAAAATCACTCAACAGTATGAAACTCCTCACCCTGGCCTACGAGGCCACTATCCCTCGTCTGAGTCTGAAACCCATCTCCCTGGTCCCTGCTCCAGTCACAGGGTCCTCAGTGCTCTTCCTGAAGTCCAAGACACTCCTGCCCAGGGCCCAGTCCAAAGCCCTGAGGCACATGCCGTGCTTGGGTGGCACCTCCTCACTGTAGGAGCTCAGCTCTCATTTTCCACCCTCAGAGGGGCCTAATGCTCCTCCTAGGAAGAAGCTTTGTCTTCTTAATAGCAATCATCACTAAACGTATCATAAGAGGCGTCTATTTATTGTCTGTCTGTCCCACTAGAGTGTGAGCTCCCAGCGGGCAGGGTCTGTCTTGTTCCCTGTGGTGCCTTCTTTGCCTAATGTGGGGCATGGTATGCAGTAGGCACTCAATAAATATGGCAGAATGGAGAAACAACCAGACCCCTTTCAGCCTTGTGTCCTGCCATTTCTTCCCTCCTCCCCAGGGCACTAGGCGCTCCAGTCCCACCACGTCTTTCCCTCAGGACCGTGCCTGGCCCCAGCCTCCTTCCTCCTTGCCCTGTGTCCCCTCCTGGCTTCCCTCTCTGCTGGCCAGTTGCATGGTCTTGCTGGTCTGTCAGGCTATGCAGTAAGAGCCAGGGCCTATATACAGAAGGGGCATGATAAATGCTGTGGTGCTTTTGTGGCCACAGACAGGAGGCCCGGAGGTTGTGATGCTGCAGCAGATCATCCTGGGCTCGCCCCAGTCCTGCCTCTGGGCTGGTCACTTCTAGGGATTTCTCTGACCACTGAGTCTTTGGGTCCTTGGTTGCCCTGTTCTCCTTTTGAGAACCAAGGGAGGCGAGGGGCCCCACGTCACTCAGCCAGGGGAAGGAAGATGCTGGTGGGTGGGAGCTGCCTGGCACTCCGTGTAGGTGTCACTTCTGGTTTGCTGCAGCAGAAGCTCACCCAGATCAAATGACTTGCTCAGTGTCACCCAGAAACTGACTACCTTCAGCCAATCCCAGGGCTTTGCTCAGGACTTGAGGAGTCTCAGACCCTGAGGGCTCCAGGGCCCACCTGGCCTGTAGGGTCTCCTGGAAGCTGAATTCTGCAAGGCTGACACTGTGTGTGACCCAGCACGGTGCCCCCAGCTCCTCTCCATCAAGAAGAGCACCTTTGTGAGCATTTCTCATATCAATTAAATTCTATTCAAACACAAGAATCCCCTTCTTAACTGGGCAGAGTGGGGAAGCCTATAATCCCAGTGGCTCCAGAGGCAGGAGGATCACAGGTTCAAAGCTACCTTCAGCAACTTAGTGAGGAGGCTCTAAGACACTTAGTGAGACCCTGTCTCAAAATTTAAAAATGGGCTGGGCATGTGGCTCAGGGGCTAAGCACCTGTGGGTTCAATTCCTGGTACCAAACAAACAAAAGAATCTCCTTCCTTGGGGGGTCCTGTGGTTTGGGCCAAGGTGTCAGAAAGCCCCTTTAGCCTTTTCTATTGGTAAGCCCCTGGAGGGTTTCTGTTTAAACCCCTCCCACGCCAGGGAGGTGTAGAGGGGCAGGAAAAGCTTCTCCCAGCAGCACCCGCTCCCTGCAGGGCTGGGATCCCACACCAGGTTTTTTCCAAGGGAGGAGGAAATGTCTTGCCCAAGGTCACCCAGCAAATTCGTGGTCTCTTCCTCTGCTCCTACCCCAGGGCTGCGGGAAACCAGCCCTGGCCACATCCTTCCATGAGATCTTAATCAGGAATTTTCCACAGCTGCCCAGGGGCGGGCGTGTGGGAATGGTGTGGGGGATGCTGGGAAGCTATGGTTTCTGCCAGTCAATGGCAGTTTAAGGGCCACAGGGCGATAAGATCTGCTCCCCATCAAGCCCTGCCAGCCCCAAGGGAGGGAACGAGAACCAGCAGGCAGGGGACCCACAAGTCCTCTCCCCCCAGACCAGGGTGGAGCCTGCCCAGAAGGTACAAAATTGACGGAGCCTGGAGTCCTTGGCCTGGAGTCTTTGCTTTCTGGGCCCTTAGCCCTTCCCTGCTGGCATGGAGCTGGGGACACGTCCTGAAGAGGGAGGGGCTGGAAGTCCAGGGAAGGAGGGTGGGCGAGCCTAGGTGTTACCAAGAACCGGGAAGATGCGTTACAAACATCACGTGGTGAACATGAACTTTGCAAAAAGGCGCACAGTGCTCCTGACCTTGTGTCATGGAGGTCTGGTCTGGGTTTCCTGCACTCACCTCTTAACTGCCAACTCGAGGCAGGGTCCCGGGCCAGGGGACCCAGCAGAGCCTTTGCATGACCCCCTTTGGGGTGATTCTGTCAGCCCTGGTGTCCACAGCAGCTGCCCTTGGCCTCCTTGGCCCTGGGTCACCTCATTGTATATTCAACCAGCATTTATGGAGCTGGTCTAGTTGTCGGGATTGTCACCAAACACAACAGGCCAGGTCCTAGCGAGCTGGATGAACACTTGCTAGAAAGTGCGCCAAGGTGTGTGCACTCCTCTGCGATTCTGTGGGCCTCTGGGATCCTCATCCTGCAGAGTGACCCCCTGATCCAGTGACTCTAACATAGTCCCAGCACGCCCACCTGCCCCTTCTGCCTGCCCCATGGCCAGGCGCGCCCATCCTGTGCCTCTCTGGCCCAGGGCAACAAGGGGCAGCACCAGCCTCTCTAAGTTCCAATCAGTTCATGCAGCTCATGGGGCTCAGGGTCCCTGGAAGCCGGGTGAGGAAGGGAAGGAAAGCGTGTCCCTCTGTCTTCTCCGGGGGATAAATGGAGCCTGAGTATGAGCAGAGCTCAGGTGACAGAGCAGGCAGTGGCCTTCTGGCCTCCCTCTGTCTCCTGCCTCTAGTAGGATCAGCTCATCCTCAGGTCATGGGCCCCCTCCTCCAGGAAGTCTTCCCTGGCTGTCCCCACCCTGACCCTCCTCCAGGGCTTGTCGCATTGCTGTGCTTGCAGCACAGCTGGGCTGGACCGTATCCATGTCCAGTGTCTGCACTAACTCCCAGCACAGTGCCCTGTCCATGTCCCAGGCTCCCACCTCCGCCCGTGAGGATGGTCAGTAAGGGTTTGTTGGAGAGGTGAACAAAGATCAAGGGTTTTCTTGGGAGCAGCGAGCCCTGCCCCCTTCAGAAGCAGGCGGAGACAGGTCGAGCTCAGGGCCCCCACCAGGGAGGGCTCCAGGGTCAGTACCTGTGGGCAGAAGGAGGGAAGTAGCACCAGGCAGAGGAGAAGCGGGCTGCCGTGTAGACGCCACGCCTCAGCTGACCTGAGGGGAGCCGGGTGTCCTGGAGGGAACCAGTGCAGGGAGCCAGACCTTTCTGCCCCACATCCGTCAGTCCCTGGATGCCCTCCTCTTGGGAGAAACGTAGCCATGGGGGAGGGGAAGCAGTGGGGTGGACAGTCCTGCAGCAGCTGGAGAAATAAGTCCTTCATTTCTGGGGACGCACCAAGCCTCCATCCATCTCATCTCTTAAAACCCTGATCCACTCTTTCAACCCCCTGCAGCTCAAATTCAACCACTGTCCGCCCACGGTGGGCCTCAGGTGTCCCTGGTGACCAGGGCTTGCTTCCGTTGCCAACATGCATCTAAGGTGTGGCCTCAGGGGACTGGCAAAACTGGACCCAGCCTGGCCCAGCCTGGTGCACCTCCCCCCTCGGGAGCGGGGGCTTGTGGGGAGGCTTTGGGGAGGGAAGGGCTGGCTCTTGGCTCCGACCTGTGCCCTGCAGGCAGCACCCAGGGAAGTGTGCCTCTGTGGTTGATGCTGACGGCCCCAAGCCCTCAGGGCGCATGTGTCTGCTGGTGGCTGCAGGTGGTGGGGCTGCTTGCACACAGTGACTTCTGGATGCTAAGACTCTGTGGAAGGACAGACGTTGGTATGTGGAGCAGGGAGGCTTCTGTCTCACATTCATTTAAATGTTCCACTCATGTATTAAGAATATTAAATACATCAGAATAAATACCACGCCCCACAAGGGGAGGTGTGTGAGCCTGCTTGGTGGGATTCTCAGACCCCCGGCCATCTCTAGGTCCCCCCAGGGTCCTCTCTGGTGGTTGCTTGCTCCTTCCTTGGTCCTGGCTGAGGATCTCAGTGCCCCCAGACTGCAAAGAGCTGCCCCAGGACTCAGTGGGCGTCCCTGGGTGGCCCCGTCCTGCTGGTCTGGGGCGGGGCCCTGTGTCCATGGTGGAACGGTGGCCGGGGCGGCAGTGGGCACGTGCTCCACCTCCCACCCTGTCTGGGGACCCTGCTGGCCAGCCGAGGGCGGTTTGAGCCAACCTCCCCGCCCTCTCCCTGCCACGGCCCAGCCTATAAAGCCACCCCGTTTGTCCTTGCCGACCGTGGACCCCTCCCTGAGACCCAGAGCCACAATGGCCCAACTGCCCACCATGGAGACGCCCGGGGACCCTGCTCTGTGCAGAGGGCGCTTCACCATCAGCACACTCCTGGGGGGCGATGAGCCCCTGCCACCAGCAGCCTATGACAGTAGCCACCCCAGCCACCTGACCCATGGCAGTACCTTCCACATGCGCACCTTCGGCTACAACACCATGGATGCGGTCCCTGCCTATGAGCACTACGCTGACAGTGCCCTGCCCGGGGAGCCCCGCAAGGTCCGGCCCACACTGGCCGACCTGCACTCCTTCCTCAAGGTAAGGGCCGACTCTCAGAAGATGAGCCACTTCCCTGCTGTGTGACTTTGACCCAGTTACCTAACATCTCTGAGCCTCAGTTCTGTCACCTGTGCTGTGGGGAAGGATAAGTGTCTTCCTCAAAGTCAGAGAGGTCCAAAGGAAACAGTGGGAGAGAGGGGGGTCGTGAAGCTCTGGGTGCATATTCTAATTCATCTTGTCCAGTCACTGGCCACCGAAAGAAGGGCAGGCTGCCTAGGGAGGAAATGGGCTTCCAGTCCCTGGAGGCACTCAGAGGGAGGTTGTGCAGCCTGGGAGGTGGGACAGGGAAGGGTGGAGGGCTGGGAGCTGGGCTGTCCATCCCTGTGGGGTGTCCCTTTTCCCATCTGACAACTGGGCAGAATCATTCTGGTTCTGGGCTGAGACTTGCTCAACTTGCAGGACTCCTTCTGTCCCCAGAGCAAACCTCCATCCTGGCCTCTGAGGTGGAGGCCCCATTGTCCCATGCGGGACCTCTGAGTGGGGGGCTGGGAAGAAAGGCCCAGAGAAGAGCTGCCAGAGGGGGCACAAGCTGGTGGACCTACCTTGCCCTGGACAAGTGGTTTCACCTCCCTGGGGTGACAGTAGCCCAGCCCACCCCTAGGCTGTGTGCAGCCTGCTCTGCCCCAAGGCCACTGCTCCCCAGCGGAGAGGAGGTGCCACGGACAGGCGTCCAGAGCTCCCAGGGCTGGTGGCTCCTCCTCTGTTTGGAGCTTTGTAAAATCCCGGGAGCAGCTCTGTGCGCAGTGAGGCCGTGCTGGGGGCTGCTGGCCTGTGACACGTGGCGTGGTGGCGCAGCACCCTGCCGGCCTGACCTCTGGGCTCTGGGCTCCCAGCAGGAGGGCAGCCACCTGCATGCCCTGGCCTTGGACAGCCGGCCCAGCCACGAGATGACGGACGGGCTGGTGGAGGACGAGGCCCGCACCAACAGTGACAAGAGCCCCGGGGAGCCCGTGCGCTTCGGCTGGGTCAAGGGCGTGATGGTGAGTGGGGTGAGGGGGAGGGTGGAGCTCTGGGCCTCACACGTGAGTGGCAGCAGAGCCAGGGCCCAGCCTGGAGCTCAGTTTCCCTATCAGGACAGCGACCTCAGATTTTCTCTGGGTTTTCCTCCCCCCATTTCTGTCCCAGGTCCTGGGACCCAGATCTACACTTGGCCACAGTAGTCGTGTGGCCTTGAGCAAGTTAGTTAACCACGGTGCCTCAGTTTCCTCATCTGTGAAATGAGCCTTAAATGAGAATGTGATCCATGCCTGTGGGAGTTAGTAGGAAAAAACTGTGTCCCTCATCCGCCACCAGATGGCAGCACATACACAGGCCACAATTGTGGGTTTTGGGTTTGATTTTTTCCCACTCCCCTTCCTGAGGAGGAAGGAAAGGTTGCTGCAGTTTACAGCACAAGTCAGTCTGCAGGCGCAAAATAACCACGTTGACTCTCCCTTGGAGGACACTATGGGCTCTGCAGGGGGACCACACGGGGTCTACAGGAGAAAGTTCTGGCCTGACGCTGGGGGCTGCAGGCCAGGTTCTCCTCTTAACTCTGCCCACTGTCACCTGCTGTGACTCTCTTTCTCCATCTAAACCATCTAAACCCTCCGACCCCCAGAGAGGTTCAGAGCCTGGGTCTCCTTCCTGAGCTGGGTCGGCCAGAGCCTGGTGTGGTCCTCTTTAGCATCTCGGAGCAGACCCAGGACCTGGGAAATCTCCCCAGTTGTGTAAACCGCATGTCCCTACCCGCCCTGCAACCTGGTGGAACCGAAGACGTACCAGGCGCTCCCACCTGGAACTTGGGCCTCCATGGGGGCCTCTGGCTGGGCTTTAAATCTCGAAGCAGAGGTCACCGCAGCAGGAGCTTCGATTTCTGTTGAGAGGGGAAGCAATTCAGCCACGTTCGCTGGGCTGGCCTGGAATGTCAATCCTGGGCCAAGAGCTGGCCACTGGGGCCAAGGCTGGGCTGGGGGGCATACGCTCCTGGGCTGGGGATAGGCGAGCAGCAATCACGCTGTAGCCCAGTTCAGGCCCTGATGGGTGGGGGACAGGAGTGGGCAAGAGGAAGGTGGATGTCCCCTTCTGCCCCTCTGCCCCACTGAACCTGCTGAGTGGGAAAAGCACAGGAGGGACGCAGGTGTCCTGCAGCCAGCAGCCCAGGGCCATGCCATGTCCAGGGACAGGGAGTCGTGTGTTGGGCCTTGGGGTATCGGCTCCCCGGGGTCCTCTGACCTCACTCTCCTCTCAGATCCGCTGCATGCTCAACATCTGGGGTGTGATCCTCTACCTGCGGCTCCCCTGGATTACAGCGCAGGCGGGCATTGGTGAGTGCCCCTCGGGGAAAAGGATCCTGAGGGAGCCCTGGTCCTCCACCTCCCAGGCCCCTTGGGAGCAGGCTTGAACATGTGCTGCAGAGGCCACAGGCCAGGCATGCTCCTCCTGGGCACAGCCTTGGACCCCTTCAGGGACCAAAGCGAGGATGGCATGGCACAGACTCAACAGACCTGCAGCCAGCCGTCCCAGGGCTCACCCTGCCCGGCCTCAGTGAGTCACTTCACCTCTCTGAGCCAATTTCTACAGCACAGCACGCAGATTCGGGGCTTGCCTTTGGGAGACAGAGGTTCGGAAGCTAGTTCTGTACCATGCTGTGTGATCTTAGGCAAGTTTCTTCACCTCTCCGAGCCTTGGTCTCCTTATTAGCAAAATGGAGCTGATGGTAGTACCTGTTGCAGAGCCACTGTGGGGTTTATAGGGTGCAGGAAGAGCAGCCTAGGATTTGGCACCCAGAGGTGCTCATCAAGGGGTATCGATCACCTCCTTAAAGGAAGTTGCCTTCCCTGTCCTACGTAGCAATCCCTTCATGTGGATCCTGAGCTCCCTGCCTAGTCAGGTATGCCAGGAAGTAGAGACCCATCCTTCAGATGACAAAACCAAGACTCAGGAGGGAAGTGACTTGGGTGGCACTGAGTAGCAGGCAGATTCAGGTCCCCCCAGAGCTCCTCGCCTGGGACCCACTGAGCTCTGCCCCCCCCCCACAGTGCTGACCTGGGTCATCATCCTGCTCTCCGTCATGGTGACCTCCATCACAGGCCTCTCCATCTCGGCCATCTCCACCAATGGCAAGGTCAAGTCAGGTGGGTCCCCTCCTCTTCTCCAAGGCTGCCCCAGTCCCCACCCTGGGAACGACTCTGAACTGCTCCCCACCCGAGGGATGCCCCAGGCTGCTCCTGAGGTTCCAGGGGGGGGCTCCAGGAGGGATGGCTCCTCAGCCTCGGCCTGCCCTAAGCACACCCCACCCCACCCCCCGGCTGACTCTTCTGGCCTCCCGGCTCCTGGCTCGGCCCTCCCTGCCAGGTGGCACCTACTTCCTCATCTCCCGGAGTCTGGGCCCTGAGCTGGGGGGCTCCATCGGCCTCATCTTCGCCTTCGCCAACGCTGTGGGTGTGGCCATGCACACGGTGGGCTTCGCAGAGACCGTGCGGGACCTGCTCCAGGTGAGGTGGCGCTGGGCCCCCAACCCCGCCTGGATCCTTCCTCCCCCCCGCCGCTCCGTCTCACCCTTCTGGCCACTGTGGGTGACGATGATGACCATCCCCACAAGTGCCCTCTTGGGGCCTGTGCTGCCTTGGGGGCCACGTTGTCCAGGCCCATGCGGAGCCACCTTGGGGGACTGTGGGCCGGAAGGAGCTTGCATGGGATTTTGCTCTCAGGGGGCACCCACACAAAGGGGAGGGGTCTGGAGCAGTGGGGTGTTCAGAGGGCAGCCTGTGCCCCTCCCCAGGAGTACGGCACACCCATCGTGGACCCCATCAACGATATCCGCATCATCGGCGTGGCCACCGTCACCGTGCTGCTGGCCATCTCCCTGGCTGGCATGGAGTGGGAGTCCAAGGTAAGGAAGGCGCGGGGGAGAGGGGCAGGAGAGAAGCGGGTCAGCCCTGGCTCTGGCCCTGCTTATGTGTATTAGCTGGGCTCCAAGTTCTGCTGCTATGACAAAGAGACCCAAGTCAGCAGTGCCTCCAACAAGAGGGACTTTGATGCTCTTTCATGCAACAGTCCTGGTGGACGTGGTCCAGGGCCAGCATGGAGGCTTCCTCTCCTGGTCCATGGTGGCTGCCCTCACACTGCCCACAGTCCAGGCAGAGGGAGGGGGAAGAAGGACGAGATGGAAGGGAGGAGCCCCTTCCCTTCCTTGATGGCTCAAGCTGAGAGCTGCCCCTGTTGCTCCTGTGTGGCCAGAACCTGGCCTCAGGCCACGTGCAGCTGCAAAACAGGCTCATTTGAGTCTCATGTCCAGCCATGAGTCAGAGGCTCAGTGTATGAAATAAGGAAGTGTTGGGTTACAGCCTGGGACTCAGCCAGAAGAGGCCCACGGGCAAGGCAGGACCCCGCCCTGGGCCTCCTGTCTGTGGCCCTCTGATCCCTTTCTCCAAGCACCAACTTAATCCCAGATCAGGCTCACTCGTCCTCCTCCTCTATGCGTCTGCTCAAAAGTCTTCTTGAGCCTGGTGCAGGGGTGCGCGCCTGTAACCCCAGGACTCGGGAGGCTGAGACAGGAGGATCACAAGTTCAAAGTCAGCCTCAGCGACTTCGCAAGGCACTTAGAAACTAAGTGAGATTCTGTCTCCAAATAAAATGTAGAAAGGGCTGGGGATGTGGCTCAGGGGTGAAGCATCCTGGGTTCAATCCCTGGCACCAAAAAAAAAAAAAGTCTTCTCCTTGGCGTCACCTCCCCAGGCCACCTTGCTCAAGTAGCCCCAGCTCAGTCCCATCACACTCCTGTTCTGCTCTAAATTCATCCCACCCATCAGCCAGGACAAGAGGCCGGGCCACCTTGCCCGCTGCTGTATCCCAGCTCCTCCAACACGCCTACTGCGGAATGGCCGGGAGTGGCCGGGAGTGGCCGGGAGTGGCCGGGAGTGTCTGCCAGGGTGAGGGGTGGGCACGTCCCCCCGTGGGGCCCCGGAAGATGCGGAACTGCAGTCTCACCTCGAGGTCCTTCTCTCCCAGGCCCAGGTGTTGTTCTTCCTTGTCATTATGGTCTCCTTTGCCAACTACTTGGTGGGGACCCTGATACCCCCATCAGAGGACAAGGCCTCCAAGGGCTTCTTCAGTTACCGGGGTACGTGAAGTTTGGGGTCCCTGGCCATGGCCCTGGGGACGGGGACAGTTTGTCCACAGACCTGGCCCACTGTGGGGCACTAGGAGGACGGGCTCCCCTTCGCCCACAGCTAGAAGCTGCTGGGGAGTCGACGGCCTGCCTGGCTAATCCCATACAGCCCCGCGGTCCAGGCAGCCCTGACTCAGGGTTGTGTTCCAGGGGACATTTTTGTTCAGAACTTGGTGCCCGACTGGAGGGGCATCGATGGCAGCTTCTTCGGGATGTTCTCCATCTTCTTCCCCTCGGCCACCGGGATCCTGGCAGGGGCCAACATCTCTGGGGACCTCAAGGTGAGCAGAACACCCGTCCCTCCTGCACCCCGCCACTGCAGGGGGCGGTGAGGACTTGCGCCCTGTCCCAGCAGCATCTGGGAGGTTGGCATGAGCTGGAGCAGGGAGGGGGGTCAGAGCTTCAACCAGCGCAGCCCAGTTCTACTTGGTCCAATCCAAACCAGTCCCCTTCTATTCTGATACACCTGGGCTTGAGACCTGTGCAACACCCCAGTATGTGCTGGTCCCCCGCTAGTTCCTGGGTCTCTGGGCCTTAGGGAAGACCTGCCCAGCAGCCACATTCTGAAACTCAGTCTTGAACGTGCACACCTGTGCTGGGCTGACCTCCCGGGATCTCTGCAGCTCCTTGGCCTGGTGATCCAGGCTCCAGGCACCTGTCCAGCCTCGTCCCCAAATGCTGTTACTGTCCCCGTGACCCTTGCTCTACCCCAGGATCTGCTGCCCTCAGCCCCACTGCCCACGTGGTTTTGACTGTGCTGGACTCGCCACCTGGGGATCCCTGGCCTGTTTCTTCACCTCCCAAGTTTCCGTTTGTCTTTCAAACAACGTCTCTGGCCGTTCTCCCAGGGGTCGTGGGTCTCCTAGAGTAACGACGTCCACCCATCCGTGTGTCCCTGTTCCCAGCTTTCAGTCAGACTGTTTGTTGATTGAATCGTGGTGGAAGGTGGTGTGGGAGGAGAAGTTCGAAGCCATACCATGGGGAGGACAGAGGATGTCAGCAGAGACCCCAGAAAACCTTCTGGGTGGAGCAGGGGCTGGGGTTGGGCTTTCAAAACCGAGAAGCCGGGAGGCGGTGGGGCAGGAAGCTCTGCCGGCAGGAAGATCCAAGGAGATGGTGCACAAGAGGGGGTGACCGGCGGAGGCTGGTGCCCTGCTGGAAATCAGTCACCCTCCCTGCAGTCTGCAGCTCCCAAAGGGTTCTTGAGTGGATTAAGGCAATCTTCAGGTCAGCCCGGCTCTAACTGGCTATGCCCCGGGCCTGTACCGAGGGCCCGGATGTGGGAGCGCTTGTCCAGCCCTCTCCTTCCCCTGGACAGCAGCCAGCCCAGGCCTGGTCAGCCTGCCCTGCGCTCCCTGCAGAGGTCCCGCCTGTGCTCAGATAAAGCAGTTCATCTAGCTGCTTTGTCAAGCTTCTGGGTTACTGAGTGGCCCAGGGTGCAGGCAGTAGGGCCGGGCCGCTGCCCCTGAGCTGTCCCAAGTGCTGCCAAGCCTTAAAAGGGACACTGGCTCCTGGTTCTGCTCATTCAGCAGCAGAGGTCTCATTTATAGCCTCGCTGTGGGACTTTGGGGAGTGTCCCTACAACTCCCAGATGTACAGGGGGCAGGGCAGGGTGACAGCGCCTGGCCCCAGGAGGACGTGCTAAGAGCTATCTGCGAACATTGTCACTTCCTGATGCCACAGACAAGCAAGCCCTCAGAGGGGTGCAGCGGTGGCCCAGCCACACAGACAGCACGGACTCTGGAGTGCGGGTCTGTAGAGCAGAGCCCCAACTCAATCACAATCATTTTGTCACTCGACAGACATTTTTTTGTGCTGTTCCAAGACCTGTCCATGTGTAGGGTGCTGCCCCCGCCTCTAAGAACTCCCATTTAGGGTCCTTGCTGGGGCAGGTGGTTTTTTGTTTCATAGATGAGGAAACTGGGGCTCAGAGACAGGAAGGGGCTTCTCCCAGGTCACACAGCTAGGACGGGACATGGACCCACCTGTGCCTGACTTGTGAGCCACCCCTGAGATCTCAGACCGAGACATGGGGGTGGGTGGGGGGTGAGAACACAAAGGTGTCTCCTCTCACAGCTTTTAGGAGTCTAGAAATTGAAAACCCAGGTCATGACAGGGCCACGTTCTATGTGAAGGCCCCGGGGAACTTCCGTCCTCGTCCTAGCTCCGGTGGCCCCTGACCATGGCGTTCCTGACTCGGGAGTCCCTCGCTCTAGGCTCTGCATCTCTGATGACGCGGCCGTCTCTCCTCTGTGTCTCTGGGTCTTTTCCTCCTCTTACAACGACTCCGTTACTGCCTCCGGGGCCACTGTGATCCAGCCTGACCTCACCTCAGCTAACCACACCTGCAAGGGGCTTGCTCCCAGCCAGGCCATGTTCTGAGGCTCCGGGTGGATGTGAATTTGAGAGACACGAAGGGGCAGCTGGCCTGGCCTCTGGGGCCAGGACTCCATGTCCAGATATTGGGTCGGGCTGGCAGGACCAGGGCGGCACAGCCCCCAGATCAGAGCCCCCGGCAGTGACCAGACCTGGAGGCCCTGAGACGCCAGCCTCCCTCTGGGCCTCCCCTCCCCTTTGCCCTGGCCTGCCACACCCTTCTACTCTCTGGTTCTGATCTCTGGTTCCGTTGTTGACAGGGCAAACTGGGGAGGTCCCAAGTAGGCAGACCTGACACCCGCCCCGCTGCTCTGTGTCTGGAGCAAGGAGCTGGTTTTGAAGTCACTGTGACTGTCCCCGGTTCTTGCGCTCCGGATCAGTGGGCAGATCCTGAGGCTGTGGACCCCAGGGTCAGGGTCAGGATGGAGCCACCGGAAGCCCTGTGACTGGGTCCCCTCACAACCCTGCCCTCGGCTCCCCAGGACCCAGGTGCAGGGCGCAGGCCACTTCTCAGGAAATTATGTCTGAGAAAGTGCCTGGGAGGGGGACCGCGCAGGGGAACCCGTCCCCACTGTTAGGAAAACGCCAGCAGGAGGCGGGAGTCTGGGGCTTGTCCTCACTCCTGTTTACTGTCGTGGAACAGGACAAATCAGTCACACAGGATGTCACATGTGGTGGCAGCTGGTGGAGCTGGCCGGGTCAGGAGCTTGGTGTGGGTCCACTCATTTTCCCCTGTGTGGTCGCGCCATTGCCAGGTCACTTACAGACGAGGCCAGGCGTGGAACGGTAGCCACTGCCCAGCCGGTCACCTGGAGTCCACCCCAGGCAGGCGCACCCAGGGCCTGCAGCCCTGGCCCCTCCTCCCGTATAGCCGGGGTCCTCCAAGCCCAGGTGTGGAGCTGTGGGACCTTTTGTCCCACCCTGGGCTCCCTATGCCTTAGATGTGGCCCTGTCCCCTGACTGTGGTCACGTCCCTCCTGTGTGAGTCCTCAATCCCAGGGGTCTCTCTGTGCTGGAAGGGGGCTCTGAGGGGCCAAGGTCAGGGATTGACCTTGACAAAGGGTGGGGCTGCCTGACGCACCCCTCCTGCTGCAGGACCCTGCTGTGGCCATCCCCAAGGGCACGCTCATGGCCATCTTCTGGACCACCGTCTCCTACCTGGCCATCTCAGCCACCATCGGTGAGTGGCCTGCTGGTCGGGGCAGGGAGGACCCTGGTGCCACCCTGCAGAGTTGGTGAAGCCCACACACTGGAGGGGGCCCCAGGGTGGGGTCTGACCCTAACAGGAAGACATGGCAACCCAGGAGGTGGGTCCCTGAGTCCTACCTCTGGGGCATCTGTCACCTTGGCAGTGACCAGAGCAACTTCATAGCGACCCGGGCCAGGCCCGGTTCTTCTGGTCCCATCAACGTTAAGGTTCTGGGCTTGCGAAGGTGAAGACCCTACAGGTCCAGTCGTGCTCTGGGCCTCCCGTGGAGCCCGTGGTGATGATGCTAGCAAGTGACGTGTCACTGCCCAGCCCTTTGCTTGGCTCACCACATTTCATCTGGTCCCAAAGGAGAAAATGAGGGGCTCAGAGAGGTGGAGGGACCTGCCCAAGGTCACACAGCCTCTGAGCAGTGGAGCCAAGCTTTGAATCCAGGCCAGGTCAATACCTGACTTGAGCAGAAGCCCTCACAGAAGGAACCCTCCTTCCCAGGGACCACCTGTGAGGCAGGTGTCCACAGATGGCCAGGGGATTTGGCCTAGTTTATGACCACTCAGGGCTCGAGATCCAGGTCTGTGCTTTCAAGAGGACGTTGGGCAAAAGCTCTCTGTGCCTCTGTAAGACAGGAGGGACAGCGGAAGGGCAGCACCGCTCTCCCAGGGTGGTCGTGAGGGGCTGAGTGCAGTGTCA